CTGGTCTGGCCCAGTAACTTTTTTTTCTTCTCAGGACTTAAAAGAATGTTCCCTGGAAAGAAATTTAGAGCAAAGGAAAGGTAAACCAAGGCTGAAGTTTTTTTTTTGAAGCAAGGAACAACGCACTACAAACTAGTATCGGAAGGTTGCTTTAATCGAAATATGTATACATATGTTATGTAGGTATTAAATAATAAAATTGTTTCTATACAACTGCGTTGTTATTTCAAACGGTACGAACATTTCAGCTGCTCTGGTAAAAGAGAGTTTTGTTTGGAAGTTAAACGACGAAAAAAAGTAAGACTACAATACTTACTGATTACTTTTATTAAAAGTTACATCGGTTGTGTTACTATCTGTGAAGAATTGTAAAAATTCGGAAAGCGTTAATTAAAAATTTTATATTTTTAAAACTTAAATTATATAACATTTGAATACATTGGTAAATCATATGTAAAACGTCTGTACATTCGTCTCATCCTACGGTGAAGTATGTTTTTTTGAGGTCGGTAGCTGGATCTTATCTCTTGGCAACAGTTGATTTCATATATCGTGTTTTCCGCTTCCTTTGTTTGGAACAACAAGGAAGTATGATATTGATTGAGCTTTAACGCTATAATGAGACTTTATAGGTCGGTTCTATCAAGTCCTCAGTCGCAACAAAGCAGTTTGAGATCTTGCGAAGCACACGATGGATTATGACAATAAAAATATTTTGTAGCTTAAGAAATATTTAAAAAAAAATTACGAATTATTATTAAAATGGCGATATTTTATTTATAAAAAACAGTTATAAGTAGCCTCAATTGGTTTCCAAGTATAGAACATTTTAGAAGAGAAAAATTTAATGCATTAGTAAAAACGTGAATAAAAAATTAAATGTTAGCTGAATAAAGGCCATAATTGGGTGCTAGGGTATTGCACTTGAGTTTCTATGTATAATAAATTCTAACAGCTGACTATAATTTTCAAGTCATTCGTATTTTATTGTGATGCTTCCATTGATTGATCCACACCTACACACATATACACAAATAAACATCTTTCTGCTTCCTTCCATTTCAATTTTCTTTTACTTAGTGTACTTCTTTAGTGTTGAAGGGTCAGACACAATAATTTCGTTTGGGCATCATGTTTTTATGTGTGAGCTATGTTCACCTGTTCTCTTTTGCGTAAGGTATATACATAGATGGCCAATGAACAAAAAAAAAACACTGTAAATTGGAACACAGTGTCAACAAAGCATTAAAAGAAAGAAGGAATAAAATGAGGATGCTCTAAGTATACAAAGTGTGTGTAGTGACATAATTTTAGTTTAAGATTTCTAAAGTTAAGAAAATGTAGGTTTATATTTACCAACAAATTGAAACACCGCTCCCGTTTAGGTTAAAATCCTTGTATATATCATATATGTCATCAAGTAAACTAGAAGGACAGACATCATCATGGTATCGGATATGGGCGGAATCGGATCGGTTTGTTAAAAACTATTGAAGCTACGATGCAAATGCGCCAAAGGTGTAAAATTTTACACCCGAGATGGTACGAGACGGTTTAATAGGAACCAGTGTCAAATTTAGACGATGGGCTTGGCACCGCTCCCGTTTAAGTTAAAATCCATATCCCCGGACCTACTCGACTGATTTCCACCAGATTCAGTATTACCCTGCCATTTCTATGTTACCGTAGGAACATAGGCGAAATCGGATAACAACCACTTCCATATAAAATAATTCCAAAGTTCATTTTATAATTTTTCAGTGTACAAATCAAGTACCACTGAATGTACGAATATTGTTTTTAAGATGTGACACTTGAAGACCAAAAATTGGTAAAAATTGACTACAAATAATCAAGCTTCCATATACCGAAGTTCTATTTTTTGTCAAAAATATCCGACAACCTGTGAGATATATTATACAATTCGGAGAGCATCCTTTCCTGATAATTGCATGTCTGAATCTTAAATCCGTATACCAAATATAAAGATTTTCGAGCTTCCGGGTGACTTTATACCGTATATATCGGCAAGTGTGTGAGTTATCTTATTAAAATGGAGAGTGCGTGTTTTTCTAATAACGGTGCATGTTTTTGCCTACAATGGATGATATTGGGTGAAAACTTGCCCTAACTCCTATATAGCTGATATTTTGGGTTCTAAAATGTCTGGCTGATTTTAGTTCTTATATATTGGTGATGGTATGTGAGGTACTTTAATGAAACTCTAAGAGCATCTTTTTCTGTAACTAATACGTAGTAGTACCAAAATTGGATTAAATCTATTAATCCGATACCTATATTCCATATACCAAATACTAGATTTTCAAACTTCCGTTTGAATTTATACAATATACCTGTATATTGGTGAATACAAGTATGTAAGATATCTTAACAAAATTAACTGAATGTGTAATAATGGATCTGTTACAGTTTAATGTTGAAAATATCAGAAGTTGGTCAAAGAATTACCCGCACTCCCATGTACTACTTATAATAATTCTCATTACTCTGACAAATCCCTTGCGGAATATATCGCTCAGTGTAAGAGTTATATATTTACAAAATTGAATTCCAATCCTCTATCTGACGTTTTTCTCAGGCTTTAGTCCTGGCAAGTTGCAGAGTACGAAATGTTCGGTTACACCCGAACTTATCTCCCCCTTACTTGTTTAAGTATGATTCTAAAGAGAATGGTTTTCTTTCGTGAGATTTTCTCACTCACTATAACCACTCAGTAGGGTATCTAGCATACATTGGAGAATACCTACCTCACTCACATTCCACGACATATAATATGTATACACTGCGCTTCATAAGGTTAGCACACCTCAGGATCAAATGAATTTGGTTAAATTCTATCAAAACTAAAGAAGCTATAGTTCTAAAATTATTAGCAATTATTAACGAATCAATTTTCCACTAAATAATACAACAATTATTGTTTTATCTGTGTTTTCTACATTTATTAATATTTTTTGTTTTAATATGCTTTTATTAGCTTGGATTGTATGTATGTAATGGAATCTTAGAGCTCAATCTTCACCAGTTTCTAGAAGTCTTATCAACTTGAAACTTTGTAAACGTTAAGGACCGATGACAATGCAATAATTTGATAACAGTTTGTCATTACTTTAAAGGTGGGCGTAACCCCGCCCCTAAATGGTTTAATGTATATATCTTCCAAATTGCTAAAGTTAACTCAACCAAATTCGCTGAGAGGAAGTCTTTTAGCCCTTTTTCATACGCTTTGAAAATGGAAAAAATCAGATAATAACCACGCCTACTCCCCATATAACAGTTATGTTCAAATATACTACAAGTGCGATAACTGACGAAATAAATGCGCCATAAGCATTAATTTTCACGAACAAGATGGTAGATGGTCTACGGCTGCAATAGCTTCTTCATTCGACGAAAAATGTTTTCCACGAAGGAATTGTTTTAGGTTTCTTCTTTTTTTTCATTTGTAATTTTCCATGTAAAATATGAAGTACTCATTCGTATCAGTTCCCGATGAAATTGGCAATTTCACGCTTAGTCACTCGTGGATCTTCACTAACAATATTATGAAATTGCTTAATGATTTCTGCTGTAGTTTCGGTTTTTGGTCGTCCTTCGCGTGGATCGTCTTCAAGCCTAGTACGACCACGTTTAAATTCACCAGTCCAAAATTCAACGGTGCGTTTTGAACGTGAGGACTCCATATACACTTCTAAAAATTGTTCATAAATTTCCTTTGCTTTAAAACCTTTCGAAACAAAGAATCTAATTACTGCGCGAAATGAAATTTTTTACATATTATAAAAGTACTCTGACACGTCAGCTTCAAATGGCTTGCAAACAAAGAATTAATTGACAGAATGGCATCAACTTTCCATGTGTTCTCACGACAGATGTTCCAACTTGAGAAAAAAAAAAATTTGGAGCTAGTAGTGCTATTTCTTGGTGAGAGCAGAAACGTTTCAAACAACCTCTACGGAAGCGCTAAGTTCGGGTGTAACTCCGACTTCTGGCGACTTGCTGGAATCAAAGCCAGGTGCCTAAGGTTTGTTTAAACAACGAAATTCATTGCATGCAGTATATGGTAGTTTAAGTAATTTATGAATCAATTTGACATATTGTCGGCATTAAACTATAGTATATCCAATGTTATATGTTCAGTTAATTTTGTTAAGGTATCTTCCCTATTTACAGCTATATGCGATATAAAGTCAGCCGGTAGTTCGAAAGTCGGTCTATTAGGTATATTTAAGGGAAGTATTGACCCGATTCAACCCATTTTGGACATACAGAGCTACTATTATCAGGAAATTATTCTCTGTGAATTTCAATTATATGTCTCATATTTCTCCCATTTTCGCACTGTAACATAGGATAATGTTATGTATCGAATTTCGTTCAAATCGGTACAGCAGGTCTCGAGATATGTGATTTCAGCTAAAAGTACGCGGTGCCACGCCCATCGTCAAATTTTGAAACCGGCTCGTATAAAGCCCACTTGTACCATTTCGGGTATAAATTTAGTTATCGGCTTTTGGTAGCTTTTAATAAACCTGTTGTATTGAAAGGATTTGTCCTTTGGGACAATTATGGGATATATGGCTTAAATGATTTTTACAATAAACCTATTAAGGGGCTGGGTCATGCCCACACTTAGTTGTAGTTAATATTATACGACAATAAATATCGCGTCTTCATTTCTTTTTATTAATTTATATTTTTATAAGTGATCACTCACGGCTCCTAGTTTATATACTTTTATGGTAGGATTTTAAACAGACCTTTCCGCTATTTATTTCTACACATCAAACCTACCCAAACTAGCCAACTATCAAAGTCGGGTAGACGATGTACACTCTCAACTTCCAATGGCATCAGAGTTATACATCTCTTCATCTCTGGTTTAATCCCTTGTAAACTATTTACAGAAACAGAGTAAGTGTTGCTTAGGCGTTTCTACATTGTTACCACATACCTATTATAAATAAAATAAATGTAACTTTTTTTATATAATATTTGTGTTTTATTTGAAACTCCTTGTTACGACATACATTTATGTACTTGTATAAATACATGATTTCTTATAGATAAACACCTTCGTATATGCGTCTTAAATGCATATGTGTATTTATATACTATAACTGATATACCTTTTACTAAGTTTATAAGCAAAACAGAAACCATAATTTCTCACCTTCAACACTTTATAAATATTAAAACACTTTTATGCATTATACAGCTATGCTTTCTTATTTTCTTCCGCGATTTCTTGACAATAACTTAAGTGATAATAGTTTAGTGTGTGTTTCGTATTATCGATAATAGTAAAATATCGAAATAAAAATTAAATTAACAATAATTTGCATAGAAAAATGTTAAAGTACAACTTATAAATCTAGCGTAAAGATAAGTGTCGGCAACGAGTTGCATGTCGCGCATCAATCTCGAATCCAATTCGGGTGGTGCGTGTGATACGAGATTAAGGCACAACAAAAAAAGTCTGGTATCCTCAGCGTCACTCGATTAAAATAATTTATTTAATTGTAAATGCTAAGCTCTCAAAAACAAAAAATAATAATAAATAAAATAACAAAATAAAGAATTCAAATAAAATTTCTCTAAATTGCGCTCGACCTACGAAAATGCTAGTTCGGCCTTAACGTAATACACAAGCTCTTAGTTTAAGATTTTCACACAAATCATATTGAAATATGTATGAGTGTATGTGTATTCAAATATTATAAAATTAATTGCCTAACATTTGCCGTTTAGTTATTCTTAGTCTTCTGAGTCAAAAGAATTGCATATGCGCATAAGGCGCAGGATCTGCCGTTAGCATTGCATACGCCTTATGGCAGCAGTCGTGGATTGAAGCGACCCATGAAGAGTATGATGCCAGTGGGATTGTGACGTACGAAATAGAGGAATGGTTTGTCGAAGCGTAAACGTGGTGCATCCGGTACGCGAGCCTGTCGTGGACGCAGTGATAGTGGCAGTTCCAGGTATTTCGGGTCGAGTAGATCGTCGTAGAAACCACGACCGAGCGCTGATTCATGCACTAGCGAACCGAAGTCGATAACGGCCTCAGAAGAATCATAGGCACCATCATCATTTGCGCCCAAATCCTTGTTACGTTTACGTAATGGGGGCGCTGGATACATTTCGACATGATGGTGATCGGCAATCTTCTCCTCTCCACAAGTGCTGAAAGTGTTGATTTGTATGACGTCGGATAGGTAGATATCACGATTGGCAGAACCGGTAAGGCCACGCAGATCAGCAAAATCGGACTTGAACAAACCCTTAAGTCCCATCTTCTGCAAACCCAAGGATGCATTTACGAATGATCTATGTGAGAAACGTGGTAGCTGCACTTCCATACCGGGGCGATCCATTAGCGAGGTGAGTACACTACTCCAAGCATTCTTGCTGAAAGCCTGTTCAACAAGTTCACGTTCAAGGCGTTCCAAACTTTCGGCTGGCGAGAGCGTGCTCTGATGACCCGGCATTACATAAACTGTGCTCACAGTATCCTGTATGCTGCCGAATGCAACAATTGTTGCGTCCAATTTGGGTTCGTATCCAGCGGTAAAACCACTCTTGTACAGCACCGCTGGTATGGGTATCAGACGACGTTGGCGTACGGAGGGGTGTACTTGGAAGAACATTTCACCGTCAGTCAACTGTGTTGAGCCATGTTTGCAGTCGGTTTGGAAAAGATTGGCAGAAATGGTGGCCAATGGTCCATTAACCCAGAGACTGTTCGTGCGCAAATATTCCAGCACTTTGCCCATGGTGTGGCGTTTTACTAACAGATTCGTGCGACGCCGTATCACATCGTTCACGACATGGAAGTTCACTTCCTCCACATGTCCCGAATAGAATTGTTGCGTCTTTTCCTTGAAGAATTGCAATATCTTTCCATTCGAACGATCGCTGAAGATCTCACGTACGAATGCGGTTGTCGCAATGTCGCTATCTGTGGCGCGTTCTACAGAGTCGGTGATATTTCGGAAAACTAAATGTGGGTTGAAAGTGACCATGTCATCTAACTTTAACACTTCGTTCATTTCGCCTGATGTACTACCACGTGCGCCGAGGAAAACCATTGAAAGCATCGATGTTAAAGCAAATGGCGACATTACCAAACTGCGCGCCGAGCTGATTTTTTCTGAGGTAATGGATTTCCAATAGCTGAATGCCAATTCATTGCAGAGTTTAACGAATGATTGCAGATCTTCGTCTAAAGTAGCTGTGGACGCTTCGAGGCCCTTAGAGTTCGAAGGGCTCGGCTCCATCTTTACAGGTGGTCGGGTAGCTTGTGTAGAAGTAGCCATTAAATTGTTCAGCTGCGCTGGACGTTGCATTGGTCGCTGTTGTGCGGTATTAGACGAATATGGTATGACCTTCGTGGGTTCGGCGGGCTTTGGCGCGTTTATGCCGGTCTGTTTGTTGTAGTATGACACGGGTTTGAGTGTATGTATACGTTTAGTTGTAGTAGATGCTGGTTTCGGCGTTGTTGTCGTTGTAGTGGTGGAAGTTGTTGTAGTCGAGCTGCTGGTTGTTGTGGAAGGCGATGCTTTTTCCGTTGTTGTTGAGGTAACAGCAAGTGCTGGGCTGGTAGGGAATTTAGGTATAATGTAGGCTGTAAGATCACCAGAATCAGCGGCGTTTTGTGGATCGGGACGGTCGTAGTTGAGCTGCGGAATTTGAGGATGTTGTTGTGCTACAAATGTATCGATAGGTTTAGCTGTGGTTTGTAATGTTATTTGCTCAGTAGAGACGATGAGTTTCGAAATAGTTGACTTGTTGGGTTCCAAAACCACATCTGCATCTGTAGCTTCCGAAGATTCTGTTCCAGCCGATTCTGACTGTGCTGGCTCTCCCGAGTCTTCAGTCGAGTCCCCTTCTTCTGGTTTAGTCGTTTCTACCACATCTTGTTGTATTGACTGTGGTAGCATTGGTGAGGTAAGCTCAATGTCAGTACTCTCATCGCTTGTGGTTTCCTGTTCGATAATAATACCATCGCCAGATGTGTTGACATTATTTGCTTCTTCACTATATTTGATGGTAGATTCTCCAAGTTTAATATAAGGATCCTCATCCGATTCGGTACTATCTATTTCATCGGAAATTGTAACTGTAACATCCGTAACTGTCTCGGGTTCATTGCCAGTATTTTCTTCTTCGTTTTCGGTTCTGACTGTTGTGGTGCTTTCTTCTGCTGGTGCCACCGTTGTTGCCTCACTTTCGACTGTTTCTTTACTATTTACTGAATCTTCTAATTCATTAGTTTCATATTTTATTGTTGTTGTTGGTAGATTTGTATATTGTATTTGCAAGTTGGCGGCGTTACTCACACTATCCTCTTCGATATTATCAGTTTCTTTTTCTGTTGAGCTTACGAATGCCTCCGTAGAGACTTTTTCAGCTGTAGCATCTTTTGTTTCCTCAGCAGTTGTATCGAGGAGAATTGGTGTGATTGTGGTAACATCGTTACTGTCTTTTTTTTCCAGCGACTCTTTCTCATTGGTTTCTTGTTCTTCAGAGATTTCCAAGTTTTCTGTAACTTTCTCGTTGGAATTATTTTCGAACACCTCCTTCTCCGCACTCTTATTTCCACTGCTGTCGCTTTGACTCATATCTGTAGCATTGGAAATGTCCGTTGTTTCTATTTTGCTACTTATATGCACTTCACTAGTATCCACTTTATGGTCCTCTTTTTGTAGCTCCATATGTTCAACGACTTGAGTTTGCGCTTCGATAGCATCGTCTGTTACCTCAGCTGTCTGCGCATCCTGACTATTTGATTGATGTTCTTCTTCCATTTTACTGGATGATTCCTTAACTATCTGCGGGGTGCTTTCTTCTTGAGATGATTGCTCCTGCTCTGTAGAAGTCGACTGTACTATTTCATCCATTGCGATCTTCTCAGTTTTGGTCAAATATTGCTCTGTTGTTGTTACTTGCTCCTTTTGCTCCAATTCTGTTTGTGCGGATTGATGCGAATCTTCATGAACTTTGCTGGGTTTATATATATCCGCGTCATTATTATCCTCTATTTCTGTTATAATAACTTCGGCACTTGTCATTTCCTCTTTCTTTTCTTCATTAGCGCCTTCGGCGCTTAATTGTTCTGCCATAACAATTGTCTCAGCTTCGTGAAGCGGTTCTACAGAGCTTTCAGCTTCTGCTGACTGCTGAATGGGCTCCTTGTTTTTCTCTGTTTTATACATATCCCCAGTATTCTCTTGTTGTGGTTGTTGTGTGGCATATATTTCCAAAAGAGATGGTATTTGTGGTTTTAAAGTAGGGATTTCGGTTGGTCGAGTTGCTTCGATCTTAGTGGCTTCAGTTTTTTCAATGCTGTCAACCTGCTCCGTTTGTTTTTGTTCTGTGGTTCCAATATCAATCGATTCGTGTATTGCGCTCTCTTCTGTTGCTTCCTTTTCGTAACTATTAGTTTCTATGTCTGTCTCATCTACAACAACGTATCCTTCTGTAGTAACAAAATCCACGCCAACCTCGCTTTCTTCTACATTCTCCAGCGATAGCTCGGCTTTGTGTTCCTTTTCGTGCTCTTTTTCTATTTTTTCTTTGCTGTTTGCAGGTGTGGCGGGTTTCTCCTCATTTAAGCTGACATCTTCCTTAGAGGCATATGTAGAGGCCACCGGAGCTGGTGCGACTTCTGTGGTCAATTCGTTTACAAGTTGATTAACTGGAGCTGGCGTTTCCAGCAACAACGGTTCCACATTGTGTACTTCGACCGACTCCTTAGCAAGTGGCGCTTTCGTCGTGCTGATCATTACGGACATACTGGCATATGCTGGCAAATTGTCGTCCAAAGCTGCTGGATCTGGTTTCAGTAAGAAAGACGTGTTCAATTGTGCAAAGTTCGTTAAGCGATTACCATCTTCCATTGGGTCGGGGCGATATGGATCCGGCTCCACTCCAGCCATTTGTTGAAGTACATCAGACAATAGGAAGTCAATTTCGCTGCGCGTCTCATTGGAGCTCATAAGTTGATCAGCAGCAATTGTATTGGCGCCATCGACCAGCGTTGAAGCTACTGTAGCCGCCTGCGTTTGGAATTCAGACATTTTTATTTGATCAGTTGGTTTTAACATATCCATATTTAAGAACGGTTTAAGATCGGCTACCTGTGGTGGTGGTTCCGTGGTTAAGGGATTTTCTGCAATCAGGGTATCAACTTTGTGTGTTGCTGGCAGCATGGGTATTTGATACTCGGTACTGCTATCGGCAATATTAGTGTCGTCGGTCTGTACATTCACTTCGTCGATCACTTCTAAAACAGTTGTGTCATCATTATTGTGATCAACTGTGCCGAGTGTGGTCTCGTAGTAGGGTGCAGCTGTTGTTTGAACGTTATTTACAATAGGTTCTTGTACATCAGCATAAAGCGGTTCAAACTTAACAACATGCGCCGAATCTTCTTCGTGATTATCTGTTAGCTTGTCCTCAAGTATCGCCGTCGCTGCTGCTTCATTTTCGTCCTTTTCGTTTTCTTCAGTAGAATATTCCGAAAAATTTGTAGTGTCCGGTAACTCTTCGGTTGTATTCTCTATTTTTGGTGAAGAAGTTGCCTTTTTTATTGTCTCTTCGGATGTTGCGGCTAATGTTGGTGGACGTATTGTAGTAATTAATTGTAATTGTTCGGTGATATCCTCCACTAAAGTCATTTCCTCTTGTTCTACGCTTACTGTGTCCACTGCATTGACATTTTCTTCCTTAGGCGTTCCGCTTTCAATGCTACCAGTATTGATGACCGCAGGACTATCAAAAGATGTAGACTCAACACTTAATGGTTCTGCCGATGGTTTATCTACGACAGGTCGTTTCTCAGAAGCACTGGACTCGTTGATATCCGTCTCGGTATTCTCGCTTGCTAGTTCCTGTTTGAGTGATTCCATTATTTGATCGAAGGCCGTCATGGTGTGCTGATCATCCAACGATGATGGCTTCTCCAACGGCTTATGATGCTGTTGTTGGATTTGTGCAAGTGATGGCAGAGGCTTACGCTTGAATTGCCCATAGTCTGATTCCTCATCAGTTCTGTCATTTTCAACAGAACCATGATGTCCAATATGTCCGGGTTTGTAGTGTGGTAGTGGATAGCTCGAAACGCCAGGGCGCTTGTTGGCGTGTGAAGGCTTGACATGTATTGGATGATAACCTGGGAAATGTTCCACGATTAATTGATTTTCTGTTGTTGTTGTTGTAGAAATAATAGTTGTGGGTTCTGGGGTTGTGGTGGTTGGTGCCGGTGTAGTGGTCGTCGTTGTCGTTGTAGTAGTCGTGGGCTCTGGTGTTGTAGTAGTGGTTGTTGTTATAGGTTCTGGCGTTGTTGTTGTTGGTTTCGGTGTTGTAGTAGTAGTTGCTGGCTTCTTATGCGGACGTGGCCGAGTTTTGTTTGGCTTGTGGCTCACAGTGGCATTATACTTACTGATTGTGGGCTCAACGATTGTTGGTACGGGCGCGGACACATCGGCGACTGTTGAATGCTTATTACCTGCAGTGGGACGCGGCTTACCAGTAGTTGGTTTGCGCTTATCTGCAGTTTGATGTGGTTTGCCATTGCCTTGACCGGGCTGACGCGTGGGTTTCTTCTTCTTCTTTTTGGGTGTTGTAGAGCTGGGTCTTGGGGAGGTTGTGCTAGTAATCGGCTCTGGGGTAGTGGTTATTGGTGCCGGTGTAGTGGTGGTTGTTGTTGTCGTCGTTGTAGTTGTTGTAGTTGGTTCTGGTGTGGTTGTTGAGGTGGTGGTTGGTTCGGGCGTTGTCGTGGTAGTTGGCTTCTTCTTTATCTTCTGCTTATTGTGACCACCTTGCGGCTTTTTAGTCGTATTATCATTCTGTACACCATTCGGTGTCTTGTGACGATGAGGCGCCGCTGGACGCTTATGCACAACAACTGGCGGTCTCTTGCCATAACCCTCATCCAATTCATCCTTGTCTGCTACCGCGGTCGGGTGCGCTGTCGTTGCACTTTGTATGATTTCTTGGTTATTCAGGAAGACGCGTCGAGTTGTCGTATCCACGTCTGTGTATTCGGGTAGTTTGTGGTAGATTGGTTGCATTTGCAGCTGTGAGAAACCATCAAAGTGTTGCATATTCGCTGCGACATTTTGATATTGTTGCATGCCGGTGTAGACAGACTCATTTGGACCTAGTTCTTCTTGTACCACTTGTGGTGTCATAGCGGTGGATGTTGTAGTCGGTGCCGCTGTAGTTGTCTTACGCTTTTGTCCCGGCTTGCGCTTGTTCGGTTTGGGTCGCTTGGTGGCATGCGTAACAGGTGCTGCAGTTGTCGAGGCCTCCAGCAACTCGGAGTCCGGTGTCATGACAATTTGTTGTGGCTTTTGTTGTGGGAAAATATCACCGCCGCCATTACCGAAAATCGCCGGCAAAATCATTGACCAAGATGAGGTCACATCAGGTGTATCCAACGCAGGTAGCGCATCCTTTGAAATGTTCTTATTCGATTCCACCTCCTTGTTCAACACATTTTGTACACTATCGACAATATCCTGCACATTCTTTTCTGGCTCACGGTCGTCTACGGGCACATGTTGCACGATTGATGAGTTTTCGCCGTCCCCATTTGCTACAATACTCTGTATTTCCTCCATGGTCATGAGACGCTTTACCAGTTCACCGTTCTCATCGAACGTGTAGAACTCATAGCGATCGGGATTGAGTAGATCAATGGGACTCGCCACCTGTAGTGAGGGCTGTGGTTTAGGCACTTTGTGACCCAAGGCGTCAGTGAACTCAGGTTCGTTGCCGTTGAGTATAACCGAAACGGATGTGACGACACTGTAAATGTTATAGACAAGGAAGTTATTTATTTGTAACAAGTATGAAGGAAAAGCGAGAAAAAGTTTTAGTAAAAAATTAGGACTAAATTATAAAAAAAAGAAACGAAGAATCATGAAACCATTCTCTAATATAAAATTTTGTTAAGGTTTTTCGATATTTTCTACCAGTGAAGATTTTGAAAGACTAAACAAATGAAATATGCAAAAAACTGAATAAATTTATTGTTGTTCAATGATTGTGATTTTATTGGGCTTCAATAGTCTGGTGCAGTCCAAATTTTGCCGAAAGGTCCATAGACCGTTTGAATAATTAATTTGTCGAATCTTTCGGCCGTGATAATGTTATGAGATCAATTTGTTTTTGCTAAAATATAAACTTTGTTAGCTTCAATCTCAAAATCCAGCATTTTGACCTTAAGATGCTAAAATTTGCTATTATATGCAAAAATTAGTCTAAAGACTAAGTTTTTACTTCAATGTTTATTTATTAGTATTCAGATAAAATAACCTTCTAGCATCATTTTTCACCGACACTTTTCAAATATACGATTTCATATTTCCAAGCATCACTTAATGCTTCAATATTTTCATAAGCTTCAATTTATCACATTTGACTGAATATTTACGGTGATTTTGAGTTGATATCATTTATATCGTTGTATACTTTTAAGCGCTTATGATCTGGCACAAATAAAATTGCATAATCTTGCTGTTGAATAATGTATGTATGGATGTACGGAAGCCCAAGTGCGAAGCTCAGTTGCAGCGAGTGATAAATACTGCTGCATTAGCACACATTTTCTGCTCACATCAAACGACACACTCACACTTATGTACATGCAATTGCAAAAGCGACGTTTGTATAACTGTACATAACTGCTTGTTAGTGCGATAAACTATATCTTTAGTAGTTGCATTTGGACAAATGTTTTTTATTGAATTATCTGGCAGCATGCAAAATACAATTTTTATTTCGCAGCGAGCGCATAAGTCAGTGTGTAAGCTAAGAGCGTTATGTCCATGCATATTTTCCGTAAATTGATCGTACAAATGGTTCAGATTATAACTTATGATATTCTGTAGGGTATTTGGCAAATAAATTAATGGCTTAAATAATCGAGGCATTAGTCGCAACGTAAGCTAACAGCTGCTCAATGACTTTGAGAAGTGAAATATTAACTTATTTAGAAATTCTATAAGCAAGCGGGGCAACAATGTGCCTATCAAAAGTGAGACTTCTAGGAATATTAATGGGAGATTTTTATATTTCGAATGGAATATAGTTGTGCTCATTTTTCGTAGTATTGTAGTATAAGAATAATTTAAAAAAGCGGGGATAAGGACTTCTCGAAATAACCCTCATCGTCTGCAAGTTATTTTAAAATAAAAATTAATTTAATTTTTTTTTAAATTTAACCATTTTGACATGATTTCAGCATATTCATAGTAGTATTCATTTATCTCTTATTTTGGTGTCGGGATATCACATCCTTATTTATATTATTATACTTATATTACTTGTTCATTTGATTTATATTGATATACAGTTTGCTGGATGTGATTTCAATTGGCGATATATAACTTTTAGTACATGACCTATTGAGTTTAGTTTTTTTGCGGTATATGTGCTTTTCGTATGAACTTCTGATTGGCTGTGATTTCAATTGAAACATATTTAGTTTTAGATTGGCTGTGATTTGAAATGAATTTTAAATATGATGTGATCACGAAAGCATATTTCCAACATATCCTCATATCATTTAATTAACTATTTAGATAGTCGCCAATTGAAAAAAAATGTATTTGTAATGTGATATAAATCCGCTCATTATATGATTTTCTTGATTGATCATCCTAAAAGATGGGACAACCGATCATGCAATTATCAATACGTAATGTGATTTCTATTACCAAATACTTATATAGACTAATTAATATGTGATCACTCATCTTATCATAAAAGCCGCTATTTATATGTGATTGACAGAGTGCTCTAGCTTATTGTTGTTATCATAAAAGCCGCTATTTAGATGTGATTGACAGAGTGCTCTAGCTTATTGTATTACCATATGATGTGATGTCGATTTCTAAAATCTTCATATGAACACAAGGTGTGATGCATCACTACATGCAAGCAATACCCTCCAAAAAAGATTTATATCCGTGTTAAAGTGTATATAAATTATTATAATGTATATATAATACCAGATGGTATAAATGAAATCATTTGGCAATCACCTCACTTTATATCACAAATAATATATATACTACTCATAAAAACTGTTATCAACCAATAATACATTGCATCATACTAAAGTATATCATACCCATCGCATTATAGAATATATTAGACCACATTAAGTCACATCACAAAAATATAATCAAATGTTCTCACTGCATATAAAATACACACATTACGTTATATTAGAGAACATGTAACAACATCATTTCATGAAAATTAAGATCATGTACAATACTTTTATATGCAAATTATTTCGTCATTACATCACATATGCTGAATTTACGGCATAGAAAATTATATCAAATGATAATATATGACATCACATCGCATTGAGAAAAAGATCCTTACTAATTAGCACTCCTACTTTTATATGCAAATTATTTCGTCATTACATCACATATGCTGAATTTACGGCATAGAAAATTATATCAAATGATAATATATGACATCACATCGCATTGAGAAAAAGATCCTTACTAATTAGCACTCATATTATATGATCGAAAATATTTTCACATGTCATTCATTCTTATACAATATTAACACATCTATTCATCACATCACATTATAGGATAAATCATATTCTATAACAAATCACAATAAGCGAAACAATAAATCAAATCGTTTCAATTCTTGTTACATTACGTTGATTCAAAATATATTACAATACTTTACGTATTTACATGTTAATTTAATACACCGAATTATATTATATTATTACTACATCTCATCATCTTCAAATCGCATCATTTAACAACATTTCCATATCGAAATGTTATCGAACAGCAAAATACTAGCGCAACAAACATCGAAAAATTTTACCCACCCGCACGATGTAAAATATAGGTTTTTCCCACAGTTGAGAAGTGTTACCTAACACAACGATGATTCTGTAAGCTTTAACAATCCTCTTAATGATGTCACCAGCTGAACTAGGCAGAGTGATTTTAATTCACATGAAATGGCTAGTATAAATAAATAAAAAATTTTACGAAATTTATATCTAAAACTATTCTTTTAATTGAAGCCCATCCATTTTGATATTTTTTTTAATCTCCGGCAGTTGCATGCTTTGTCTCATGTATAGAAATTGACTGTTTGTGACATTGATTTCAATTTTCCAAATGTGACAGTTTTCTACTGCCATCCTGTATTTCACCACAGTCACGGACTCTGTTGACTGGCATGACCGTGTAGTAGCCATAAGCGGCAGTGTACTCAAATGTCGCTTACGAACGAGTGCATATCTGCGGGTGACCAGTTCCTGAAATTCTGAAATTCGATACTGTGCTTTTGGGCAAATCAAATAATACGCGTGCGCATGCATTCCATTAGGTTGCCAACGCCAGCATCGGTACCACAAGCGTAATTTTCTCAAACATTTTGCATATTCATGAGTAGTTAGCGTTCGCATCGCCGCTATTGCAATTTCATATACCTATTTACATACATAGATGAACTCAGTACGCCAGAAGGGCACTGCTATTCTGCGGTTTATGTCGGTTGTGCGCGCGTGTTTGCTAGGCGTGTGTGTGTGCGTGCTTTGATACGCGACTCGATCAACATGGCATATTAAATATGGATACGAATCCTGCGAGTTAATTTTTTGTGTTTTCGCTGCTTTTCAATTATGTTCTAAGCTAGGCTTTCAATTTATGAAATTTCAACTCTCTCATATATAGGTCACATATGCTTGAATGTTTGAAAGCACCATCATTTTTATGACGGGAGAACCTAAGTAATGAAATTGGTCCTAAGCTGGACAGTAACAGGAAGATAAAGCAATAAACTGTAAACCAGAATAACAATCGTAGTGATAAAATACAAAGTAATAACTATTTTTCCGATAATTGTTACAAATACTGACCAAAGAGGTTTTTGCATACTCTGCATTAAGTAAAATTTCGAATCAAAAATAATTATAGTTTGATCGATCGGTTATTAACACTCTAGCTAACACACTATGGAGTAGTAACTGTTACGCACAAAAATGCGCGCAGACCCTATAAAATATATACATAAATGATCAGCATGATGAGCTGAGTTGATTTAGCCATGTCCATCTGTCTGTCCGTCTGTCTGTATATAAAAAAATTAATCACTCAGTTTTTAAGCTATCAATCTGAAATTTTGCACCTGTCCTTTTCTCACTAAGAAGCTGCTCATTTGCTGATATCGGACCACTATAGCATATAGCTGCCATACAAACTGAACAATCGGAATCAAGTACTTGTATGAGAAACTTTTTTACTTAAGGTAATATCTTCACGAAATTAAACACGAGTTATTGTCTAAAGCAACAATGTAATATCCCAAAAAATTGTTCAGATCCGATTACTATAGCATATAGCTGCTATACAAACTAAACGATTGGAATCAAGTACTTGTATGGCATACTCTTTCATTTGATGAGGTATCTTCACGAAATTTAACACGGACTATAACTTAAGGCAGCAATGTATTCTCCGAAGAAATTGTTCAGATCAGATCACTACAACATATAGCTGCCATACAAATTTAACGATCGGAATCAAGTTCTGTAAAGGGTATTATAGCTTCGGTGCAACCGAAGTTAACGTTTTTTTCTTGTTTAGTTCATATTTCATACACTCAGAAAGAAAGAACACTTGTCAGATCTTCATAAACTGGAAGTCTGAAACCTAACACATGAGTTTGTGGCATAACTACAGGGTATTCCAATGAGGATTATCCGTAATTTTTTTTCATTGTATTCAGTAATATTTACAATTTCATTGTGGAAAGTTATACGCAAGAGCAACGCTTATAAACTATTCAATTTTGTTATCAAAATAAAACTTCTTCAACTGCAACTTTTTCAAGAAAATCATCTTTTCTGATGACGCTCACTTTCATCTGACTGGTGCGGTAAATACACAAAACTGTCGATTCTGGAGCGAAAAACTATTACATTCACCTGATTTGACAGTTAAGTGTGGTTTTTGGTTTGGTGGAATCATCGGTCCGTACTTATTTTGAAATGAAGCTGGTGACACCGTTACTGTCAATGATAACCAACCTTTTGGAAGAAGTTGATTTTGATTATTTCCAAACGGGCCGACGTGCCACACAAAAAGTGCAACAAACGGGAAAAGATTGGAGATTCGATAATTTCAAGAAATTGTGACATTGAATGGCCTCCAAGAAATTGTGAGTTAACACCATTAAGCTACTTATTGAAAGTTATTTGAAGTCATTGGTCTTTAGCAAGAAACCAGTTAAGCTTTAGAAGTTAATATTGATAGGAGGCCATTTGATGCTATACTCAGAACTGAATTGTATCGATTGAACTTCCCATTAAATAAAAAAGATTTCCATTTCCTTAACAATTAGTGTGTTTTTTTGTAATCATATCACTTTTATTGGAAAACCCTGTATAAGAAATCCACCACAAACAGTTCAAATAATATTTATTCTATGTTTAAAATGGTTAACCTTTTAGCAGTTGTAAAGTTCATACTATATAATATATACTCTGATCAAGAATATTTGGTAGATATTCATAAACACTAAATCTTAAACTCGAGTTTGTGGAAAAACTACAAAAGTTCAGTTAAAGTATTTGAGGGGCTCTGAAATTGATTCCTTTTGCGCTGAGTGCGCTCACGAAAGAGAGGCTACACTTTTAATGATCTACTGTCTGAATACTCAAATATAATATGAAAGAGCCGTTTGGGTAAGCCATAAAAGCACAAAGACGAAATGTAAAAAATAAACTCTCGGAAACACAATCTCCAGTTATACTAAAATGCTTTGAAAGTTTATTCCTTTCTCGGCTAAGATCCTCCTAAATTAAATGAAATTCCATTTAGCCTATCCAGCGTTGTCGTAGAATTTCTTGTCCTTAATTAAAATACGAATATTTTTATAAGGTCACATCGTTAAAGCGGCCAAACAAATTTTTTGTCAATTACTTTTCATCCACGAGTTTTTTTTGGCCAGCTACTTGAAAGCAGACTGTAATAAAGGTAATAAATTCATAATGAAGGGTTGCCACAACAACCGAAATTTTTAGCTAATCGATAAAGTGAGCGAAGCGCTGGTTTTAACCGACAATAGCTAAAGTAGCAGGGGGAGGTAGAAAATAAAAGAAAATAACGAAGGAAAAAGTTTACATATTTCCAAGGAGAAGAAATTTAAAAATAAATGAAATATATTCAAGAGCAGACCGCCGTTAATTACTTCATGAAAGAACAGTATACTAAGGTGTATAAAATAATTGCAATTTAAACGGTTTGTGACTATAAAAAAATATGTTTCGGAGTTCGGTATATTTAAATAAAGAGAATGTGTGCTGACTCTTGATGAGTTTAGCTATAAGATTTTTAGTTTCTGTATTGAATATCAATGTAAATTGTGTAACAATTTTAATTATTAATGTACTAGTTCATGTTGGTTAACTAGTTCAGACATCAGATCGTGGTTAGAAATGTTAAACATTGTGCACAGGGTAAGCGATGAAGCGCGACTTCATGGGAAAAATATTATTCCAAAGACCCCAAGATAAATATTTGTATTGTACAATAGAGACATTTGTTTCGAATTAATTCTCATAAGTCCCTAATTGAATTAATTTATTAATATTAGTTACCGAAATACTCCTCCATTCTTCCAATTCAAAAAAAGTTTTTATGAAGTGCTATCCAGAAACAGAGAATATCATTTCATGGTCATATATTTTGCCAATGGTTCGCAACTACAGCTTAATCCGATTGATTAGTTGAAGATGAAAGGAAAGAATACGATTATTGATTTATATTTCTGCAGGAAAAAGAGAATATCATTCGAAAGTCATGTAATATACCAGTGGACTAATTTTTATTGTCAAGAATTAGTTACAACTGCTGATTAACCCGGTTAAGCAGTTAAAGTTTAATCGAAAGAATTCGATTATTGATTTGCTTCTACACAGCTACTGACTAATTCGATTGATTAGTTAAGGAGTAATCGAAAAGATTTGAGTCTAGAATTATCTTTTGGCAGAAAATAAGAATATCACTCCAAACTGATACAATTTACCAATGGATTAATTTCTATTGTCAAGAATAAGTCATAACTTCCGATTAATCCGATTAATTAGTTGAAAATTAATATCATTAATCGTAAGAAATCGAATAACTAAGCGTTAAACATAACAATTTTAACAATAACCAGTTCAAACGAACTATGGTAAATGGTGAAAACCTTTTTTAAAGTACTTTTTGAATGGAGTGATTATTTTCAACAAATTACCTCTGGGTAATCTTTTTTATTTAACGCGCTTACGAACTCTTTAAATAATTTTACATTTTTTCTAACCTATGCACATGGAAGTTTCAGAGTCAAGTAAAATACACTCACCTGGAACCGATAATTTTCTTCGACGATTCATCATCATTCTCACTACTATGGGTCAACGCCGGTTCGTCATTAGACACAACTGGAGTAGTTAGCTGATAGGAAGCCTGCTGGGGAGCCACCGAAACATTGTAGGCAAATCCGGGTTGCTGACTCTGCTGAGTTGCTATCGTGGTGACGGAGGAAGTAGCACTGGTCACTTTGTTACCACTCGCGTTGGTGGTGGAACTCGCCGGACGTTTAGTCGACCATTTGGTTGTGCTATCAGCAGTGCTACCGCTAGTACTGCTGGTGCTGCTCGTTTTCGTTGTGGTTACATAAGTGGCGGTGGTGTTGGGCCGTTTTGTTTTATGCTGCTGCTGCTGCGGACGCTGTTGCTGCTGTTGTTTGTTTATCTGCGGTTGTGGCAGGCGAAATTCGTAGGCACCACCAGTGCCCAATGTATCGCTCTCTTCCTCGTTCACAGCATCGGGTCGTGGATCATTTGCATAGCTGCTGCCGTCGCCGCTGCTACTGCTCGCCTGTCGTACGTGCGCCGCTTGAGTGGTCACTGCTAGCAGGCCGACAGCTGTCAGCAGCCACAACACGTTCGGACGCATTGTCGCTGCGGTCGTGATAATTCGACCTCGCGCTTACAAAACCTTCGACTTTGCACACACGCTCACAAAAAACCTAAAAAAAACAGAATATTTCTGTTACACTGAAAGTGTGATTCTTTTCCCTTTGTAAAAATCGTTTGTTGTTGTTGAAAATCGTTTCTTCTTCCTTGATTTGGCGACTTTGCTTTATTTTTCGGTAGTCTTCTTCTCCTTTGTGTTATCTTTGCCTTTTGTGTTTATGTTACTGCTTAACAAAAGTGTTTTTTTGTTGCCTTCAAATGCCTTATTAAATATTTATAAATATTGTGTACCGAAAGTTAGTAGCTCTGCTCGCTGGGTCCACATAAAACAGTGAAAATAATGGAAAATCTGTAAAAAGAAGAAAAAAATCTAAAATTAATTAATGTGAATCGAAAGTGAAAAAACAACAAAAAAGCATTGGCACCTGATTACAGCCAAAATAAGTGAAATAAACTTGATAAAACTTCGAAGCCAGAGCGCGCCTGTGGCACTTAAGCAAACATAAGACACCAAGCAGTGACGCAACAACAAAATACCTATGTAAACAGTTTTGACACTTAAATTTGCGCGCCATATTGGTTGTCTAGTCAACCAATGGCCCGATTGTTGTTTGTTTTTCTGCCATCGTCGCCAGCGGCTTACCGGAGGCATTGTTTTTTAAGTGGTAATCTCTCTGATTGACATTAAACATTTATCGTAACTGATTTGCATCATATACGACCCACCACCCTCCCACTCTAATTCGAAGTTCTCATTTTCCTGGTTTAAAATTTTTTCTCGTCTCTGTGGGTTGTGCATCAATGTTATTGCGTCAATAAGGCATAGAAATTAATCTGCGTTGACTGGCGAGCCGCTTATCAGGCCCGGGAGTATATAAGTGTCAAAGAAATGATGATTGACAACAAACGAAGTGCGTGCAAACAAATGATAAACATAAATATATTATAGTACAATGTGCGTTCCGAAGTAAACAGTAAAAAAGTAAACTCTAGTGACACCATCTATATGTCGACTAGTGCGTTAAAATCTGCTATCCTTTATCGATTTCCAGGAAAAATTTCATGACATTTCATCTATTGGAAGTGGAGTTGACATGACATTTCATCTATTATTAAGTGTCGGTATGTTTTTATTATCGGTGCGAAAATGAGCTTCGAATATGTCAATTAGTTCGGCAGTTAAGTTATATGGTAAATAGAGTCGTGGAACTTATACTACCTTTGTTGGGTACGTTATTACTTTTAATTGAGATAAGTGAAGGAATAATGTTGTGTTAAAAGCATCAACAAACGAGTTAACAGTACTTCATTGGATATAAGACAGAGTCAGTTTTGTAACGCAAATTGTTGTGAGAACATAACTCATTTTGATCTTTTATTAAGGAACTAGAATGAATGAAAACTTTTTGGTGCGGATCTGTTCATTTATTTACATAATGAAGTTAATGTTTTTTACATTTGTTTGTTAATAAATTTTATAGGAATGTGCAAGGAATTTTATATAAAATCAATGGAAAGGAAATTTTAATCGGTCAGTTTCGTCTTTGAGATCTACAATATATAGTTCTTAAAAGTCCAAATCTTAATGAAAATTTATAAAGAAGCAAGTGGAGATAATAAGCCGATTAGTCAAACATTTAAGAGCAGCGAATCGAACAAACTATACCAGTTGATCAAACTACTACTATCAGCATCTACTCAGACGCATGAGTAATTGAGTTAAACGTTTATTTAAGAAAAACAAATAGTATAATTCAAAGTTCTGCTCATCTGAAGCTATAACATTTCCCATCTTTCTGGCAATTTGAGGATTCCATCTCAAAAGAACTGCGGTGTTTGGCCGCCAAAAATGACTCAGATCAATTTTTGATACCCTGCTTTGATATGACTGTATTCCAGTGATGGAGTTCTGTATCAACCGTAACAAATGGTAGTTCGAAGGGGCAAGGTCGGGGCTCTAAGGCGGGTGAGCCAAAATTTCCTAGTCTGTTTTCATTTTCAAATAATTCTGAAAATCGTTTTGATGAAAAATTATAGCCTCGTGGCTAATCGCGAATTTCACTCGTGTTTTGGCAATTTCTCGCTTCATTTGAAGAGTTGTAGTCGGTAGCATTCCCCATTAATGGATTCACTCGGTTATAGAAGCTCATAGTAAAGAACGCTCTTTTGATTCCACAACATGATTTTTTGGGTTTAGGGTTGTTGTAATGGATCCTGACCCCATTGCGTTCATTTTTGACATGCAAAATCGTCTTTCAGCGTCTTTCCAGATTCAGCGCTAAATCACATACTTTTTTAAGAAAACTTGTCCACCTAATTTTACTAAAATATCACACATTTTGATCAACTTAAACGATTAAAAGCCCAAACGAAAAAAAAAATATATAAATGGTATTAATACTTACTGACCAACAATTCGAAATAAAAATTGTTAGAATAACGAAAATCATTATAAGTAGTATATGGGACTTGGGAGTAGTCCGATTACGCTGATCTACGAACTCATCCTCGCTAGGAACATGTGCACCAAATTTCATTACGATATCTAAAATTTTACTCAAGTTACAACTTTCACAGACAGCCGGACAGACAGACATTCTGATTTCAACTCGTCTCGTGATCCTGATCTACAAGTCTTGAATGTCTATAACGATTCGGTTTAGGCGATAAAAACAACCGTTAGGTGAACAAACCTGTTATACTCTGTAGCAACATGTCGCATGAGTATAAATATTTTTGTTTACTCTTCAAATAAATAACATAAACTGAAAAAGACGCACAAGGATAGTATTAGGCCCACTTAAGTGGCATTTCCCCTTCAGCCAGTGGCAGCATTACGCATTTCATAATGTGTCTGTAGACTTATCGATACATGGTACCATTAACACTAGGAAGTGACCCAAAACTAAAAGCCGAAAAGCATTCCCAGACCATAACATAGCCACTATGTTTGACTGTTTTCAGACAATACGAATTTTTAAGACGTTTGTTTCGTAGGCGTCGAACGTAACACACGTCATCACTTCCTGTCAAATTAAATTTGGACTCATCACTGAAAAGAACAATTTTCCACCTTATCAGACATTCTATATGATCTTTAGCGAACTGCGTTACGTTAGCAAATAAACGGTTTCTTCGCGTGCCGGTAACTGTGTTAATCAGCGTCATTCAGGCGACGAGCGACTGTTGTTGAGCAGATTGGTACCTAATCTCCTTTACCAATGGCAGAGCGCTCTTAAATTGCAACTTTTTTTTAACTATTTTGCAATTGCGCTGTCAGTTTTTCATCAGTCTCGTTTTTGATCGGCCTACACGATGCGCTACTGTGACAGTTTTGTTTCTAATATAATGCCAATTTATTCGAAAGCTTGAATAATTGTGAATTTTGTATTTATCATCATCAATATCACGTGCTTACAGCGCTTCACCAAATTTATTTGGAGCCATTACTTTCTTCGTAACAAATTTAAAATTAAAACGTGTTTTCGAAAAAAATTCAGCGCAAAAATTATGCTCAGTAAATGTTTCAATCAATACAAACTCAATTTGGTTTGAAAAAGAAACGAAGTTTCAGTATTTTTTACAGTTATATAGCTAAGAAAATAGAGTTGCAATTGACATACATTTTAAATTGTTTTCAAATATAATATAAGAGGCAAATGAAAAAAATGATCCCAACAAACATTTCAAAATATGTAACTTCAATGATGTAAATTTAGAAACAAGAAGCAAAAAGTAAAAAAAAAATGGCATTGTAAGAGACTAAAAATCGTGTACTTCGCTCTAGTTGCAAATGTTTTGTCCGATACTGTAGCTGTAGACCAAATAGTAACATTTTAGTCTTTTTACGTTTAATTTCTATAAACAACTGTGCTTTATTTCAAGCCATAAGTTTTCAATGTCAATAAAATTAAATGGTAATTTAATATTTGAGAGAAATTCGTATGAGCCTTGCATAATAGTAAAACTGATCTAAAATGTGTGAAACAAAACTTGGTAGCAATAAAGAGGTATAGCATCCTAGTGACGTATATGTAGACCCTCTTATATCTATTTAACTCGAAGATGTTGTGGTTGCTTTTACATGTTCATTTTTTGAGAGTAGCGCGCAGCAGTTAAGGTGTGAATTGAAGACAGCTATTATTTAAAGCCAACTTATATTTCTTAAAAGATGTTGTACCTAATTTCAATTTTAATTCCTTGAACGAATTACAATTTTTAATTTAAATTGAGAAATAGTAATTCGAATACTACAAATAAAATTTAGTAAATTCAAAAGGAGCGTTTTATTTCGGTTTTTTAAGCTTAACCGCTTACTTAATTGGGTGTAACTCATACCCCATCTTGTGTGGTTTTTTCTTATTAAATTAATAGACTTCAAGTTATATGTAAAAGTAGTATTTCTAACAAAATAAAAAATTGAATAAATGCGAGAACTCACTTTTGTTCTCATTATACAAAAAAGTCCACGAAATTCTACTTTTCCGCGTTTTAAAAGCTTCTCGTCGCAAATCCTCTGAGTTTAGCACTAATTAAAGCACCGACACGCTTGTCAACAACAGCCTAACAGTCGCATGCTCGACAAAAGCATTTAGGCAAACCACAAAAACTGTCTCAAAGTTTTCAAACGCGAGCACAGCAGAGAAAAGGCATTTTATCTCCATTTTGCGCTCGTTTTTTCTACCAATTTTCAGCACTCTATAGCAAATCTCTCCAATTTCGACACTTGAGCGCTGCGCCAAACCGCTAATGTTATACTTATGCCTCTGTTATTGCTGGTGTTGTTGCCGCAGTCACAGCTGTTCGCAAGTGTTGTTGTTGTTGTTGGGCGTACAATAGAATGCATTGTAGGCAATTAAGCGCAGCAACAGGAAACCCGGTGTGCTGTGAAGAAGTTGGCGTGGCTGTGTCTACGCGTGTGTGTGTGGGTGTGCGCTTTAAATAGAGATGCTAACGCTGGTGTCGCGTCTGCTTTGGTGGTGTTGGCTAAAGCTTATTAGCATAATTACGCAACCCCAATGCAGCGATGCAAGCGCCGAGTTGCCACCGCCGCTTACCAGCGCGCTTTCGTGAGTGCACTCTTAGTCTATGGCATCACAAGAGATTTGCGTTTTGGGTAAATGCCTTGCGGTTTAATTTCAGCACATTTTTTTTTTAATTTTCTTTCGTTTTCTACCGTTAGTTGCTTGTCGGTATTTGTTAGTTTTCGGATTTTAAAGTTATGATTTTGTATGCTCGTCAGCTGTATATAATTGATAGATTGTTGCAAGTAAGTATTTACTTTTGGTTGAGGCAAAATTTTAATCAAAACTTCAAGTGTTTCTTTGTCATTTTATATTTCTAGTTGACTGCCATTTTAATAAATTGCTA